GAAATCCACAACCTTGGTGTATGGGGACAACACTCTAAACAACTGAACTTCCTAGCCAGGGCCTAAAGCATTTTTAAATAAAGGGATCTTAGTGTTTCTTTCTTTTCTTTTTTACAGTGGTCACACAATATTATAGGAGTGTTAGGTGTGTAGCAGTGATTAGATATTTATATAATTTACAAAGTGATCCCCCCATTAGGTCTAATTGCCACCTGGCACCAGGCATAGCTGTTACAATGCTACCGAGTATATTCCCTAGGTTGTTTTTTACATCCCTGTGACTGCTCTGTAACTACCAATCTGTACTTTTGAATCCGTTCCCCTTTTCCACCCAGCCCCACAAACCTCCTCCCATCCAGGGATCAGCAATTTGTGTGATACCTGACAGAATCTTGTCTTTTTGGTTTTTCTTCAACTGGTGGGGAAAAAGAAAAAACAACCCTGTAATTCTAATTTGTGGCCAACAGGTTCATTTGGAAGATGGTGTTTGGTCCTTACAGATGGGACGGGGAAGCTCCAAGTTTCTTTATTTCAAATATAATACAAAATATTCTCATATTTTGTATTGCTTCCTGTCATTGTTTTTACATTTAATCCTCACCTGAGGACATGTTTTTTTGGCTTTAGAGAGAGGGAAGAGGAGAGAGAGAATGAGGCATGTAGAAAATGTGGAATGTTGATCGTTTGCCTCCCATACATGCATGACTGTGGATCAAACCAGCAACCAGGCTGTGTGCCCTGTCCAGGGATCCAACACCCCAGCTTTTGCTTTGAGGGACAATGCTCCAACTGAGCCACCCCACCAGGGCTGTAAGTATTCTGTATGATTATTTTAATTACCTTTACCCAGAAGGTGAGGGGAAATGATAACATTTATAGCCAAGAACCTGATGGTGTTCCCCTCTTTGGGAGGACAGAAAAGCCTGGCTACAGAGTCCATCCTGTGCCCAGGGCAACAGATGCAGGAGGCGGGCCCTGGATGGAGGGGCAGCATCAGAGCCGGCAGATGAGGGGAAGGACTTTTCTTTAGTGTGGACCTGCACAACCCTTCCCTCCTGTCTCGCATGGCGACCTCTGAGGGAGCCCTGGACTTGGGCCTCAAGCCCTGTCAGTATCTGCCTGTCTTGGTCCCTCTGGGTCGCTGTAACAAAATACCACCGAGCAGGGGACTTGGAGGGAGCACTGTGTGTGGCTCACAGTTCTGGACACTGTGAGTCCTGGATCAAGGCTCCCGCATGGCCACATACAGGTGGGGTCCTTCCTGTGTTGTCACTTCACAGGAGGGGAAGGGACAAGATGTCTCTCTGGAGCCTCTTCTCTAAGAAACGCATCCCACTCACAACCGCTCCGCCCTCATGATCTGAGCACCTGCCAGGGCCCCACCTCTTAGAATATGTGTGAGGTTTATCACCTATCTTTTAAAAAGCAATTTATTAATTGATTTTACAGAAAGAGAGGGAAGGAAAGAGACAGAGATGGGAAGAGAGAAAGAGAGACAGACAGACAGAAAGACAGAGAGACACTGATTGGTTTCTGAACTTATCCATGCATCCGGGATCCAGCCAGCATCCATCTGAGCTACAGACCAGGGCAGGGGGTTATAAATTCTGCACATGGGTTTATGGACACAAACATGCAGACCACAGCATGGCCCAAGGTGCATTTAGTCCACCGTATTTCCAAATGTGATGCAGCCTGTTGAATTACTGAGGAAGGAATTGTCTGATTCATGACTGTACTTTTAAAAAGCCCATATATTAGTTATTTTCATAACATGCACCTGTTCTGGCAGACTTGGAAGATAATGGGACTTCATCTCATTCCTAATTCTTTTTCCTTCCCTGCTGCCTTGGATTATGAGAGGTCAGAGAGGCATCCCCATTCAATGAGAGAGAGAAATGTGAGTGACACTCACACACACAGTAACCACATGGGAGGGTGACAAAGCCCTGGAAGAACTTCCTGAGAGGCCAGCACCTCCTGCAGGGGGATTTGAAACAGGAAAAATGTGTGTGGAGGGTCACTGAAGGGCAGACACTTCTGTGTCCTTCTGTCTGTAGCTGTGTGTGTGTCTGTCATTGGATTTCATTTCATGATCCGGGATTTTTAAGTCACAACCGAATACATCATGGAAATTCACACTCCTGTCCTCACACCCAACTCTAAACCCAGGAAGTCTCAGAAAAGTGGAATTTTGTTCAGGGTTGAGGAGCTCCATGGCTCCTGCCATACAAGACTGCACTCAGGTTGCAATGGACCAACCCCTTACCCTCACTAACTGAGACTCTGGGGACATAAAGACCTGCAGGGACCCTCCTGAGTCTGGCCCCATTTGAAACACCCCCAGCACTTCCCCATCTCCCACCTGCCCAGCCCAGGCAGGAGGGGCAGCTCAGGACCAGGCAGGCTCAGCACAGTCCCACCCAGGGTGCTGCCCACCTGCAGGTCCCAGTCCCTCCTGGGCTGACCCCTCCTGGTTCTGCCCTGAGAGTGGACACAAGGCAGCCCTCACCTGGCTGGTCTGAGCTCCACAGCTCTGTGCAGGGATTCCTCAGGCAGGGTGGCTCCTGAACCCAGTTACAGGGACAGAGTGTGTGGTCCTGACCTCCCCACAGAGATGCCACTATCATGTCATCTGTTCTGCCAGTGACATCATCTGTGTGAGGAGCCTGGGGTGTCTTTAAATTACAGCAACTTGTCCCATGCAGATCCCCCTCAGACACATCTGGTGACTGGGGACAGTGATGGTCAGTACTGAGATGCCCTGAGGAGCAGTGGGGAGGAGGCAGAGAAAGTCTCCCCTGTTCCCTGGGGAGGAGCTGAGTTAGAGTCACATGTCATTTGGGTGCAGAGACATCTGGACCAGGAGCTCATGTCATTGTGTTTCTCAGTGGCCCCTTTCCTTCAGCTCCTCTTCTCAGTACCCCATCCCCAAGTCCCTCACACTGTCATCCCTGTGACCCAGGCTGGTCTTCCTGTGGGTTCTAGTCCCACAGCTCTTGCTGCTCACACCTCAGATCTGGTCTGTGGCTTTTCCTGAAACAGAGTGAGCCCCCAAATCCCACATAGAAATCCTTTTATGTTTTGATTAGAAAATATTAGGGACCATTAAGCTCCAGAAATCACTCAGGGGGTAATCCCAGAGAGCGTGCATTCTGAGATTTTCATTATGTTGACCTGAGAGCCACTTTCTCAATCTTCTGCTTGACTTTACCCCATGGGAGAGAAAACGCTGTGCCTTTCATATCATGTGACAACATGTGAATGACCTTTTCCCACCCAAAAAAATACAAAAACCAAAAAACCCTTAAACATGCATTTAAGTCCTTTCCCCACCCTGGGCCCTACCACATCACAGAATTGCATGGTTCAAAATCTATCTGAGATCAGGATGGCTTGTGGGCTTGTCAAGATCTACTCAAATTTCTCCTCAAAGAGTGCTATCAGAATGTTGGGCATGATGTCCAAGTTAGTACCTTTTTCAACTTAAAATATTTTTCTTTTTATCTTCCCATCAATATTTATCCCCACATTCCCTCTCCCACCTGCACCAACCCCTGCCCCCATATTATTACAAGTTGTCTGTGTCCATGAGTTAAATATATACATATTAAACATGTATATGGCTTATTCAGTAATATCCCTGATAATTCTAGGTCCCATCTGACACCACACATAATTATGATAATGTTATTGACCATATTCCCTAAGCTGTGCTTCACACCCTTCTAAAATGTGTTGAAGGCTAATATAGGACAACCAGCACATTGTCATTGACTTGGGTAGAAGGTATGAGAGGGGCTAAGGAGGGGGAGTGTAGAAGTGGTGAAGAGCACAGCAGGACAATCTCAGAATATCTCCCTGTAAATAACTAATGAATGACAAACACCAAATGGTGAATCTCTGATGGGGAAACATGGCCATCACAGGCTGGGGAGTCACCAGATTGAATGTCGCCACTGTTGGGACAAGTGGGTGCAGTGTCCAGTCCTTGTTCCTCCTCTTCCACAGTCCTGATTCCCTCAGTGGCCTCATACACGCTCACAGATTTAAATGTCATTTTTGTAGCATCTCCTCCATATCTATGTCTCCAGCCCAGACATTTCTCCTCAAGGTCCCCACACTCATCTGTCCAACCTGACACCTCACTGGTGTTTCTAACACACATCTCACCTTGACCTTCTCTTCAGCTGAAAGCTTGAAATGCCAACCCCTCCCCCACACATGATCCTGCCAGAGTCTTTCCCATCTCTGCGATGTAACCCCATCTTTCTGCTGGCACAGTACACATGTGGGGTGCCCTCCTTGACTCTTTCCCCAGACCCTAGATTGAATCCTTAGGAAATGCTGTGAAATCCATCTTCCAAATGCATTCAGTGTCCAGTCCCTTCCCACTGTTTCCACCACTCACAGCCCTGTCAGAACACCCAGCACCTGCAGCCTGGAACCATGGGAGTTTCCCCACACCTTTCCCTCCTGCCTGGCTGGTCCCTTGTCTCCTGATTCTGTTCTCAGCCCAGCAGCCAGACTGACCCTGTGGCCTAAGGGCTCTCCCTTGAGGAAGAACTCTCAGAGGAAGCCACTAAGGACATTGGCTCCTTGGCCATGACCTTCCAGGACTCAGCATCTGCAGAATGAGAGCAGTGTCTGCAGTGGATTAAGGATCCTGGATGATGAAACAGTTCCTGCTTTAAGCAGGTGTTTCTCACCTTCTGATTGGTCAGCTCTCTGCACCCCACATGGACACCCCTGAGGTCTACAAGATGGGGCCCTGGAAATTTGGAATAACTCCTAAGCAACAAAGTGGCACTTGGTTAGCATCAGGGAAGTAAAAACATTAAAGCCAGAGGCTCCAAAAGGTATATTTGGAGGTGCAGGAAGAAACTGTGAATAGTGCATGGAGCACAGGTGGTCACAGGGAACATCACTGGGGACCCATGAAGTCCCCTTGTCCCATGGCACACAGTCTGTCCCTCCTGGGTTGTCTCCATACCTCACAGTGAATTTATAAATGTAAAGTTTATTAAAACAGCTTAATAAACAGGATGAAGGTATAGATAGAATAAGACCCACCGGAAACAATACACCTTGGAGCTTTGAATCTACATCTCTTTTGATCTATTTACATATATATATCATTAATATTAAAATAATTCAGGGACATTGAGATGATTAAATAAGGCTCTGATGCTGGGTGCAGAAACAGTAGACAGTGAAGCTTAAAGTGTCAAGGGGAGGCTGCAGTGACTATTTTAGCACCAAGTCCTGTGGAAAGCAGATCTGTCACCCTGGAAAGAAAGTAATCGTAAAAAATTCAGGTCAGTCTCAGAAGGGTCACATTCTCCCACAGCACCACATGCTCAGAATGTCCCACTCTGAGAATCCCCAAAACCCAGCTGGGTCCCTGGGTCCCAAGGTCCCCCACTTCCTGCCCCCACTGTCTCACCATCAGGAGCTGTGAGAGACACATCAGAGCCCTGGGCACTGTTGCTGCCTGGGGAAGACATAACAGCAGAGTTATGGGTGGGGGAGCCCCCCTCACAGACCCAGCCCACACTCTCCCAAGGGTCCCAGACATCACCTCCCCAACACCCAGACTTACAGGGAGCCTTAGCATAGCTCTCTCTACCTCTGCCTGTGGGAAGAAAATGTTCTGTGAGAAGTCAGGGAGAATGCTGGGTCCCGTGACCCTAAAGAAGCCCCATACTCTGATGCACAGGGAAGGTTCCAGAACTGTGACTGAACACTCATGTTAGAATCCAGAAACACTGGGAAAGTACATGTGTGGGGACTGGACCTACTGCCACTCTGGACATCTGTCCTCAGCAGGGGCCTTTCCCTCTGGACTCTGGCAGATGGGAATCAGTCCCCAGCGCTAGAACCATCAGGTGATAAATGTGTCCCTCACTTTCCCAAGGGCCTCAATAAAGAGTCAGTGTTAGCTAACAGGCCCCAGATGGACAAGCACCCATGTGGGGACATGATGCCCATAACAAGGCAGAGCACACTTCCACCTGGGCTTGACCCCCAGGGGGACAGGAAACTCAGCCCTGCCACTTGCTCACCTGAGCACTTCCTCCTCCACAGCACAGCTCCAGTCACCACAGCTCCAAGGAGACCCAGGGCAGCAGTGATGCCAACGATGATGATGGTGGTCTGAGGAGGGGGGTCTGTGAGGGGAATTTGAGAGGCCAATTTCAGGCCTGAGTCCTGACCCTGCCCAGGGACACTCTCACCCCATCTCAGGGTCAGGGGCTCAGGCAGTCCCTCGTGCTGCACATGGCACGTGTATCTCTGCTCCTCTCCAGGGGGCACGAGCACAGCTGCCCACTTCTGGAAGGTCCCGTCCCCTGCAGGCCTGGTCTCCACCAGCTCCATGTCCTGGGTCAGGTCCTCCCCATCACGCTGCCAGATCAGGGTGATGTCCGCAGGGTAGAAGCCCAGGGCCCAGCACTTCAGGGTGACCTCATGGTCAGAGATGGGGTGGTGGGTCATGTGTGTTTTTGGAGGGTCTGAGGAGAGGGTGAGAAAATTCAGGAAGTTTACATGGTCATGGGACACTCCAGCAGTGCTCATGTGACCACCTTGAGAGTGGACAGGACGGTGGTGGTGGGGGCGGGGGAGAGGGAGAACAACACCCAGACACCAGCCTGGCAGAGGCACCTGGGATATTTTCCTATTTCTTGGAAATTTCCAGAATCAGGGCGAGAAGCTAAGGTAGGAGTGTGCAGGTCTCTAAGGAGAGACAAGACTCAGGTGGAGACTGAATGACTCAGAAAACCCTGAGTGAGGCCTCCAGAGAAGGTCTCAGGTGGAGAACCAGGGAGACTGTCCTGGTGCACCAGGTGCTGCAGGGTGTGAGGGAACCGCTGTGGGGTGTTTCAGGGAGAAGCTGGGTCCATTATCATCCTTTAGAGAAAGCTGGGCCCAAAGGTGAGTCACAGAATAAGGACACCTGGGGGACTCTTCCTGTCCTGAGCAGGAGGGACATTCTAACACTAGCCCATTTGCCTCCTCTCCTTGTAGGAAGCCACCCCAAGCCACAGATCCCCTCCTCCAGAAGGCCCACGACCTGGTACCTGTTCGGAGCAAGGTCTCCTTTCCGTTTTTTAGGAACAGGCGGAGCCAGTGCACGCAGAGTTGCCCTAGGACTCCCTGTCTTTGCTCTGCCGCAGGGAGCTCCACCAGCTTGCGCCAGGTGATCCGGGCCGCCATGTCGGTTGCGGTCCAGGAGCGCAGGTCCTCGTTCAGGGCGATGAAGTCGGTGCCGTCGTAGGCGAACTGAGTGTACCCGCGGAGGAAGCGTCCGTCCGAGCTCACGTCGCAGCCCCTCATTTCCTGGAAGGTGTGAGCCCCTGACCCCCGCCCCGGGGTCAGGTCCCTCCACTTATTCCCACCGGGAGCAGGAGTCTCCCGGGACCGCACAGGTGAGGACCCGGCTCGCGGTGTTGAACCCCAACTGAGAATTCAAACGGGTTTAAGTCCCCATGGATTCCTTCTGGGTTGGATGTCCCGCGCACCCCGCAGCCACGGAGCGACGCTGGGACCCGGATAGTCGGGGCGACCCCGGCCTTTCCGTGGGGATGAGGGTCGCGTCGGTTCCCCCGGGGCACGTGACTCACCGTCCTCGCTCTGGTTGTAGTAGGCGCGCAGGTTGTTCAGGTTCCCTCCATACATCTTCTCGTAGTTTTTGATTACCCGCGTGTAGTCGTCCCAAAAATGTGGGTGCTCCTGCTCCACCCACGGCTGCTCCATCCACGGCACCCGCGGCTCCAGCCTCGGGTTCGGGGCGTCGCTGTCGAACCGCAGGATCTCCGTGTCGCCCACGTAGACGAGGACTTTGAACTGAGACTTCCCGCGGCCCGGTCCGGACACGGAGCTGGAGAAAATTCTCAGGCTGTGGGGCCCTGGGGGCTGGAAGGACACTTGTCCTTGGCAGTCGGGCGGTTAAGGGCTCGAGTCCCGGGAAAGGAAAGAGGGTGGGTGGTGAGAGGAGGGGGAAGGGGGACGGAGGCTGGAGTTGGCGGTCCGCGGTCTAAGTCGCGGGTGCTGGAGGCGCGCTTTTCCTGGGTCCTGTGTCCGTGCCTGGTCCCCTGGCTCCTGCCCCGCAGAGGCCGTCCCTCCCGACCCTGCACTCACCGGCCCAGGTCTCGGTCAGGGCCAGGGCCCCCGAGAGCAGCAGGAGCAGCGGTGGGGGCCCCATGACTCTCCAGGAGAGTTCCTGTTGTCAGAGAGGACTTTATATAGCCAGAACCACCGTTACACTGATTGGCTGCTCTAATGTTCAGACATTCAATGGGAGTGAGACATGCGGTAGCATCATGTGTATCCGGAAGGAAGTATCTGACGTAGGTTGTAAGAGGGAGAAGTGAAACCCACAGGAGAAGGGGACTCCTCAGTCCTGTGAGTACCCCCCTCACCCCATTTTGGTCCTTCAGGTCTCATTGCTAAGACCCTGCAGCTAGGCCTGGGGACCCGGGACTTTGCACTGAGCCCCCTCCTACACGGAGAAGTCTCTGTCCCTCTGTCTCCCTGAGTCCCGGACCACGAGGTTGTTTTATTCATCGCGTCTCAAACGTTTTGGTTTCAGAATATCTGTACTGCCTTACAAAATAGGGAGGACGGCCAGAATAATTGTGTTTGTGTGCGTTATAGCTGTCAGTATTACCATAAGGAAAAACAGTTTGAACAAAATTATTTAGAATAACTTTAACAACCTATGACATGTTAACAGAAATAATATTTTTATAAAAAATAACTATTCCCCAAATAAAAAGTAGTGACAAGAGTGGGTCTGCCTACATGTTACACTTTTGCAAGTCTGAGTGCTTGTCTGCCTCGTTAGAAGGTCTCTGGATTTTCATATTTGCTTCTGCGTTTAATCTACTATTTTGGTTGTAGTTTACTAAAAATATACAGCCTCACACAAATATGTAGGGGAGGATTTTTAAACCTTTCAGATAAGTGTGGATATTCATCTTGGATTGTACTGTAAAGCTACACAAGTGGTAGTTCCTGAAAAACTCTTTGCAGAGTGGAACCTGAAACAAATCCATTGAGTATTCCCTATTCTGTTACATTACTTGAGTGGTTCTTGTATTGATGTAGGATTATTTAAAATTAATGCATAATTTCATTAGAGATCTCCCAGTGTTGATACATTTAATGACACATCATCAAAAATCACATTTGTTAACGTTGCCACAGATCCCACTGGAAACAGCTGTCAGCTCTGGGAAGCTGTCTGGCTGTCGTGGGAAGACAGACACACGTTTGCCAGAATCCTGGTTTTCCTCTGAGAGCTTCCATTCCATCCAGACAACAAGTGCTGTCAGGTGTCAACTGCCTGTTGACTCTCCTTGAGGGAGAAGCTCACATTCATTTGAGAGAGTGTTCACCTGTTCACCACACCTCAGTCATCACAGCTTCTGTGTCTCTCATTCTCTTAAGTGAACTTGCTGTTCTGTGAAGAAGAGGCTGACTCAGCCCTCACAGGTCACTTTCCTGGGCTCATGGTACTTGGGAATGAATGTAGCAGAAGTGTGTTTGTGCACTTTCCCAGTCATCATAGGAGATATTTTATTTTTTTATTCTCCATTTTCATTAAGGACAGTTAAGAAATTAATTCATTTGTATAATGAATTCAAGATATATTTATCTTCTTTTAAAATATTTTTTTATTTTCCAATTACAGTTGATCTACAATATTAAATTGGGTTCTGTGCAACTCTATGTTTACATGTTGATGTAAATTACAAACTGATCACCCCAATAAATCCAGTACCCATCTCGCACCATTTGTAGTTATTTCAATATTAATGACTGTATTGTATTCCCTGTGCTGCACTTTACTTCCACATGACTGTTCTGTAACCACCAGTGTGTCCTTCTGAATCCCTTCACCTTTTTCTCCCTTCAGTCCCTTCAGTCCCATACCATCTGGCAACCAGCATCTGTTCCATGAATCTGTAAGTCTGTTCTGTTCTGCTTGATTACTTCATTTTTCATATTCCACATAGAAGTGCAATCATCTGGTGTTTGTCTTTCTTTGACTCACTTATTTCACTCAGCACAATACCTTCCATTCATGTAGTCACCAGTGGTAAGCTTTCATGCACTTTTATGGCTGAGTCATATTTTGCTGTACACATGCACCACTTCTTCATCCATTCATCTCTTGAAGGACACTTAGGTTGCTTCCATATACTGGCCTCTGTAAATGATGCTGCAGTGAATATATGGTTGTGTATGTCTTTTTGATGTCGTGTTTTTTTTTTTCAGATAAATAGCCAGAATTTGAATGGCTGGGTCCTTCTTTGTCTCTTGGTATAGCCTTTGTTTTAAAGTCTGTGGTTTCTGGTATAAGTATTGCTACTCCAGCTTGAATTGTTTGTTTCCATTTTCATGAAATATCTTTTTCCATCCTTGTGCTTTCAGTCTCTGTGTGTCTTCCTATCTGAATTGAGTCACTTACAGGCAGCATAAGTAAGGGTCTTATTTTCTTATCCATTCAGTCACCATATATCTTTTGATTAGAGCAATTAATTAATTTGCATTTATACTAATTTCTGATAGAGATGTAGTTGTTGCCATTTTGTTATTCATATTTGTTTTATTTTTCTTCTTCTCCTTAATGAAGACCTTTTAACATTTCCTGTACTATTGGTTTGATGGTGATAAACTCTGTTAGTTTTTTCTTGTCTGGAACACTCTTTATTGGTCTCTTGATTAAAAATGATAGCTCCTTGGTTTTCATACCTTGGAATATTTCTTGTCAATCTCATTTGACCTGAAAAGTTTTTGTTTAGAAATCAACTTTTCATCTTATGTGAGCTGCCTTGTTGATAATTAAATGCTTTTATCTTGGTGCTTTTAAAATTCTCTCTTTGTCTTTAACCTTTGTCATTTTCTTTCATTGTTTTTTAAAAAATTTCTCATTTTAACCTTTGTCATTTTCATTATGTTGTGTCTTGGAGTGGGCTTCTTTAGATTTATCTTGTTTGGGACTCTGCACTCTGGACTTGTGTGTCTACTTTCTTCATCAGGTTAGGGAAATTCTCTGTCATTGGTTTTCAAATAGGGCTTCCATTCCCTGCCCTCTCTCTTCCCTTCCAGGCGCCACCATGATATGAATGTTGGTATGCATGAAGTCATCTGAGAAGCTCCTTATGCTATTCTCAGTCTTCCTTCCTTCCTTCTTTCCTTCCTTCCTTCCTTCCTTCCTTCCTTCCTCTCTTTCTCTCTCTTTCTCTCCTCATTCTCTCCTTCCCTATTCCTTCCTCCCTCCCTCCTCTTCCTCCCTCTCTCTCTCTCCTGTTGTGACTGTGTGTTTTCTGGTACTTTATCTTCCCAATCTATGATTTTATCCTGTGCTTCATCTACTCCACTTTTGATTCTCTGTAATATATTCTTCATTTCACTTATGGTATTTTTGATTTCTAATGTTTTCTATTTCCATTTTAATGTTTCCTGTTTCTTTGTTGAAGTTCACACTAGGTTCATCCACTCTGCCCCTAAGTTCATTGAGCATCCTTACAACCAGTGTTTTGAACTCTGCCTCTGGTTGATTGGTTGCCTGAAATTTGGTTAGTTCTTTTCCTGGAGTTTTGTTCTGCTCTTTCATTTAGGACATGCTTCTCTCTCCTCATTTAGTCTGCCTTCCTGTGTTTGTTTCTATTGTGAGGTACAGCTGGTCCATCCCCTGGGTCTTGGTAGTGTATCCCCATGTAGTGGGTGTCCTGTAGGGCCCAGTAGTGCAGTCTCCTCCCTGTTCACCCATCCTGGGCAGTCCTGGTGTCCACCATCCCCTCTGTGTGCACCCTGCTGTTGCAGTTGAGTTATGATTGCTATCTTGATGCAGACATTTCTCTTTTAGGACTTTATCCTAAGAAGATAATCACACATGTTCTCAATTATATATATATATATGTATATGTATGTATATATGTATGTATGTATATGTATATGTATATATACACATATATACATGTGTGTGTGTGTGTGTGTACATATACATACATACACACGCAAGGGTGCTTCTTGTATTGTGGTCTTATAAAAGCATAAGGATGGATTTCTCTAAATGCTCCAATCAATAGAATGATGGTAACTGTTGATGGGGAACTCAGGAGTTGAGAAAATTTTAGTGTTAGGTAACAGTTAATAAGCTTAGTGATGAAGGCCTGTAAAAACTATTGTTTCAGGCACTGAAGGAACCACCCACCTGAACCCAGGTAACACAAGCAATTCCATCTTTGTGCTCCAGGGGGACTGCAAGTGATCAAGATCATATCTGAAGGACTTCTGGCCAAGATGGAGGCATAGGTAGACACACTGTGCCTCCTCACACAATCAAAATTCAGACAACAACAACTTAGAAGCAAAATAACAATCAGAACTGTCAGAAAATTGTACTGTATGGAAGTCGGACAACCAAGGAGTTAAAATAGACACATTCATCCAGACAGTAGGAAGGGTGGAGTCAGGCAGCTGGGCAGAGAGGGGTCACAACACAAAAAGTGGTGGCACCAGGTGCATAAGGTATCCCAGGCACCCAAGACTGCAATGGGCAGACCCTGGGTGTGCAGGCTGCAGCTGGGAGACCCCGGGTGCATGGTGGGAATTGGCAGACCCAGTGAGGCAGTGATTGTGAAGTGGGGCACTGCATACAAGGTGGCTGGCTGACCAGGTGATCCCACATTCACAGGCAGATAAACCGGGCAAAACTGGGGAGCGAGACAGACCACACAACCTAGGGTCCCAGCACCAAGAAATAGAGCCTCAGGACACTGATTGAAAACGCCTGTGGGGGTTGACACACAGGGAGAGACTCCTAGCCTCAAAGGAGAGTGTGTTGGAGAGACCCAAAAGGTCCTAGAATGTGTACAAGGCCACCCACATGGGAATTAACACCAGAAACACCCAGTTTACTTGGGTAAAACAGCAGAAGGGGCTGAAATCTGACTGAGAGCAAAGCAAGTGCCACTGTTCCCTCTTGGACCCTGCCCCCACATACAGCATCACAACCCAGCAACTGAATTGCTCCACCCTGGGGAACACCTAAGGCTCCGCCCCTCACTACTAACAGGCATGCCAAGACAAAAAAATTACCCAAATGAAAGAACAGATCAAAACTCCAAAAAAATTACAACTAACCAACAAAGAGGTAGTCATCCTATCAGATGCACAGTTCAAAACACTGGTAATCAGGATGCTCACAGAATTGGTTGAATTTGGTTGAAAATTACATGAAAAAATGCAGACTACACTAAGTGAACTGAAGGAAAATATACAGGGAACCAATAGTGATGGGAAGGAAACTGGGACTCAAATCAATGGTGTGGACCAGAAGGAAGAACGAAACATCCACTCAGAAAAGAATGAAGAAATAAGAATTCAAAAAAAATGAAGAAAGGCTTAAGAACCTCCAGGACATTTTTAAATGTTCCAACATCCAAATTATAGGGCTACCAGTGAGAGAAGAGGAACAGCAACAAGTGGAAAAGTTATTTGAACAAATAGTAAAGGAGAACTTCCCCAATCTGGTGAAGGAAATAGACTTCCAGGAAGTCCAGGAAGCTCAGAGAATCCCAAAGAAGTTGGATCCAAGGAGGAACACACCAAGGCACATCATAATTACATTAGCCAAGTTTAAAGATAAGGAGAGAATCTTAAAAGCAGCAAGAGAAAAGGAGAGTTACCTACAAAGGAGTTCCCATCAGACTGTCAGCTGATTTCTCAAAAGAGACCTTGCAGGCAAGAAGGGGCTGGAAAGAAATATTCCAACTCATGAAAGGCAAGGACCTACATCCAAGATTGCTCTACCCAGCAAAGTTTTCATTTAGCATGGAAGGGCAGATAAACTGCTTCTCAGATGAGGTCAAGTTAAAGGAGTTCATTATCACCAACCCCTTATTTTGCGAAATGTTAAAGGGTCTTATCTAAGAAAAAGAAGATAAAAAACATGTTTACTAAAATGACAGCAAACTCACAATGATTAACAACCGCACCTAAAACAAAAACAAAAAGAAACTAAGCAAGCAACTAGAAGAGGAACAGAACCACAGAAATGGAGATCACATGGAGGGTTATGAACAGGGGAGTGGGAGGGGGAGAGAGGGGGAAAAGGTACAGAGAACAAGTAGCATAGATGGCAGGTAGAAAATAGACAGGGGAGGGCAAGAATAGTGTGGGAAATGTAGAAGCTAAAGAACTTATGACCCATTGACATGAACTAAAGGGGGGAAATGTGGGTGGGGGGGTGTGCGGGGTGGAGGGGAGTGAAGAGGGGAATGAGAAAACTGTAATGGCATAATCAATAAAATATATTTAAAAAGATCATATCTGAGCCCTGTGCTCCAGGGAGGCACAGCCACCACCCAGGACGTAGATAAAAAAATCACAGGTCAACAGATGAAAGAATGCCAGGAAAATTGCTTTTATATGATTAGCATTTTCCCTGATGGTAACTGTGTGGCTTGGCTTTGTGCCCTGAGGAGCAAATTCAAGGTCAAACCAGAATTTCCTTGTAGCATTCCAGCAAGGCAGATTTAAGAAAGCCTATATATGATCAATTACTATTATTTTAAAGATTTTATTTATTTATTGTTAGAAAGAGGGGAAGGGAGGAAGAGATGGAGAGAAACATCTATGTGTGGTTACATCTCCCGCACTCCCTAATGGGCATCTGGCTCAAAACCCAGGTATGTATCCTGACTGGGAATCAAACCAGTGACCCTCAGTTCACAGGCTGGCACTCAGTCCAATGAGCCACACCAGCCAGGGATCAATTACTATTCTTGTTGGGTTTCTGCAAATAATTAGGCCAAATTAACATTGGACTTAATGCAGTCTCTTTGATATATAAAAAAAGAGGGCAATTGTGTTACTATGGAAATCATAACACTCAATTGTGGGTCTTGGGCTCCAGTTAAATTTTTATTTTTCACCTACAAACTGAAATGGATATTGATTTTTTCTAGTTTTCTTTCAAACGAATGTTTCATTTTTCTTTCATCCTTTGACTTGGGATTATTGAAAACCGCTGATGCAATGCCAGCCATGCAGCATTCACCTGCGCACCTGACGACATCATCAGACATTTAAACTGCACACAAGGAGGATCTGTCACACTGTCACTGCTCACTGTCATTCCAGCAAAGGCCTTGCTTTGGAAGTCTTCTCCTCTGACTCAGCCTTGCAGACTCAGAAACTGGTGAGGACTTTCTGCGTTCATTAACCTTTGAGTTCTTCCTGTTTTTATAGGGCATATGTCAATGATCTCATTACCTGGTTCCTTGTGTCCACACTAGAGGCCTCTGTAGAGAAGCCCATCTGCATCTCCACCTCCTGAAATTAGACTCAGTGGTTTGACTGAATGGGCTTGTTGTCAGGACTAGTTGTGAGACAGGAGAGTAAGGAGGTAGGATAATTCCTGGACAAGTGGGATGAGTTAACCGAGACAGCAAAATTAAACAAGGCCAAACAGTGTGAACAATTTACAGACAGCTAGTGATTTACAGAACCTTTCTCCCTAACCAAGGACACTGAGAGCAAAGGGTTTATGGTCTCCTCCATGGCCGTAAACCACAGGACTTGGGAAGACAGGAGGAGGAGTCTGTTGCAGGGAGGCAGCAGTGGCACAAAGGGAGGGAGCTTGGGAAGATGCTAAGGACTCACCTTTCAGCTCCTCCCCTTAGTACCAAGAAAAACAGCACCTCAATGCCCTCCACCTCCAAGAATGTCTCCCTTTGAATTCCCATGTTTTCCCCCATATAAACTTAGTTCTGAATACTCAAGATAGGTGGATGTTCAGGTTTTAACCTGCCACCTTCTCAGACTGCTGGCCTCTGATATTAAAAGCACAATTATAAATAATCCCTCTCTCTTCTTTTAGGCTGAGCAGTAACAGACAGCACGAGCCCCGGACTAAGTTGCCCTCTGGTCTCAATTCTGGTGACCCAGATGTTGAAGAGTTTCCCTTGGGGCAGCCTCTCACCATGTATGGACCCCACCAGGTGTTGAGCCTGCTGGAGCAAAAGGGAAATTCGTGGCTCAGTGCTGGAAGAATGGGCAGGTACCAGGCTATTCCTCTCGACCACTCCAATGTCTCCCTCAGAACAGTGACTAAGCTAAACCCTGCCTCTCTTCTCCCAAGGCCTGACTTGGCTGTGCTAATACATGACTGAGCTGAGATCACTGATTCTTCTAGCAGAATTGATGTACAGGACCATCCTGTAGAAGAAACAGACTGGACTCTCTGTGCAGATGGAAGCAGTTATATGGACACAGGAAACATAGAGGCTGGGTATGCAGTAGTGAGGTTTGAAGGAGGAGTGGAGGCCCAGGACTTGCTGCCAGGAACCTCTGTTCAGAAAGCTGCACTGATTGCATTGAGGAAGATGCTGGAATTGTCACAAGAAAAGAGAGTGAATGGGTGTGCCTCCTCGAGGTACACTGTCCTGATTTGGCTTGCACATGGTTCCATCTGGAAGGAAAGAGGACTATTAACCTCCAGTAAAAAGGAGATTAAGCATGCAGCAGAAGTTTAAAAACTATTAGGGAATCCTCAGGTACCTTTACTGGAGGCAGTCATGCACTGCCCAGGACATTAGAAAGAGGACACTGAAGTGGGTAGAGGAAACATTCTGGCTGATGGAGCAGCAAAGGAGGCTGCTAAAGGAACACTTACAATGCTTTTGGTACCTCTTCTAGACTTGTCAGAATTTCACCTTGAATATTCGACTGCAGACTTAGAGAAAGACTGGAGTTGGGGTTTTGATGAAGAAGGTCCTGACAGGAGATGGAGAGAGAATAAGAAAGGAGTCACACTGTTTCCTGAACATTTAGTAGAGCCAGTCATAAAGCATTTGCATGAGGCTACACACTGTGGAAGAGACTCATTAACCACCTATGTCAAGCTGTGGCTCACAGGTCCTGGAATTTCTAAGGCCAAGGAAAAGTAATTGCTGGGTGTGTTGTGTGCCAGAAGTACAGCCCCAAGACAGATCCCCAGCAAAAGAACGAAGGGAAATAATACCAGAGAAAGAGCCCATTTGAGGACTGGCTGATAGACTTTACTCAGATGTCAAGGGTCCAAGGGTGGAAATATTTGCTAGTCTTTGTTGAAACCTTTTCCAAGATGGATAGAAGCTTATCCTACTAGAATAGAGAAATTCTTGGGGGGGAGCAAAAGCTTTATTGAAGGAAATAATCCCTCACTTTGGCCTCGCTGGCAGCATCCAGATCAATAATGGACCTGCTTTTGTTTCAGAAATTACACAGGAGGTTAGTACATTTTTAGGAATCTAGTGGAGACTCCACACAGCATGGAGACCTCAGGCTTCTGGGAAAGTAGAAAAGGTGAATCACACCTTGAAGAAAAATGTGGCCATGTTATGTGAAGAAACTCATGTCCATTGGGATCAAGCTTTGCCTATTACCCTGCTCAGGATAAGGGTGACTCCTCAAAGTGGGATTCGGCTGAGTTTTTATGAGAGTGTTTATGGGCGACTATTTCAGGCTATGATTGGGGTGGGAGACATAAATACTGATGAAGAAATGAAGGTAAAGTATAAGTACAACATTTAAGTCAGAACTTAGCTGTAACTAATGACATTTATTGTGTTAGGGATCTCTGCCCTGCAGGTTCCCTACATTCCACTGAGTCTGGAGATAAGGTGGTACTTGGACCTTGGATGACAGGATCACCAGAGAGCTTACTACAAGAAAAGAGGGCTGGACTTTGGGACTTACTCCTTACCAGTCCCACCTCAATGATGTCAGCCTTGGACTGAACCTTGGACTCTTGACACCAGAAAGGAAAGAGCTGGAATAATGATGGACTAGTGAACCACAGGAAGACCTAAAATCATCTTTTGATAGCCATGGCTTATATTCTTTTCATTAATTTTTATTTGCTGACAGGAAAAATGGTTGTCAGCTCTGGGAAGCTCTCTGGCTGCCTTGGGGAGACACACCTTTGCCAGAATCCTGGTTTTCCTCTGAGAGCTTCCATTCCATCCAGACAACAAGTGCTGTCAGGTGTCAGCTGCCCCTTGACTCTCCTTGAGGGAGAAGCTCAGGTTCATTTGGGAGAGTGTTCGCCAGTTCACCACACCTCAGTCATCACAGGTTCTGTGTCTCTCATTCTCTTAAGTGAACTTACTGTTCCATGAAGAAGAGGCTGGCTCAGCCCTCACAGGTCACTTTCCTGGGCTCATGACACTTGGGGATGAATGTAGCAGAGTGTGTTTGTGCACTTTCCTGGTCATCATGGGATATATTTTACTTTTTAATTCTCCATTTTCACTAAGGACAGTTAAGAAATTAATCCATTTGTATAATGAATTCAAGATATACCTATCTTCTTTTAAAATATTTTTTATTTTTCAATTACAGTTGATCTACAATATTAAGTCGGGTTCTGTACAACTCTGTATTTACATATTTATGTAAGTTACAAACTGATCACCCCAATAAATCCAGTAATGATCTGATACCTTTTGTGGTTATTACAATATTAATGACTGTATTCCCTGTGCTGCACTTTACTTCCCCATGACTGTTCTGTAACCACCAGTGTGTCCTTCTTAATCCCTTCTCCTTTTTCTCCCAGTCCTCCAGTCCCATACCATCTGGCAGCTAGCATCTATTCCATGAATCTGTTTCTGTTTTTCTAGATTACTTTATTTTTCATATTCCACATAGAAGTGCAATCATCTGGCATTTGTCTTTTTCTATCTGACAAGTTTCACTCAGTACAATACCTTCCATTCCTGTAGTTGCCAATGGCAAGATTTCATTCTTTTTATGGCTGAGGCATATTCCCTTGTACATATGCACCACTTCTTGATCAAATCATCTGTTGATGGACACTTAGGTTGCTTCCATATACCGGCTTTTGCAAATGATGCTGCAGTGAACACATGGATATGAATGTCTTTTTGATTTAGTGTTTTGGGTTTTTTACAGATAAATACCCAGAAGTGGACTGGCTGGGTCCTTCTTTGTCTCTTGGTATAGCCTTTGTTTTAAAGTCTGTGTTTTCTGGTATAAGTATTGCTACTCCAGCTTTAATTGTTTGTTTCCATTTTCATGAAATATCTTTTTCCATCCTTGTGCTTTCAGTCTGTGTGTGTCTTTCTATCTGAATTGAGTCACTTATAGGCAGCATAAGTGAGCACCTTATTTTCTTATCCATTCAGTCACCATACGTGTTTTGATTAGAGCAATTAACTCATTTGCACTTATACTAATATATTTTTATTATTTTTATTTTTACTTTTTAAATTTGTGATATGTGGTTATTGCTATTTTATTTATTATTCATATTTGTTTTATTTTTCTTCTTCTTCTTCTTCTTCTTAATGAAGACCCTTTATATTTCTTGTACTACTGGTTTGGTGGTAATAAACTCTGTTAGCTTTTTCTTGTCTGGAATGCTCTTTATTTGTCTCTTGATTAAAAGTGATAGCTCCTTGGTTTTCATTACTTTGAATATTTCTTGTCAATCTCTTTTGACCTGAAAAGTATTTGTTTAGAAATCATCTTTCTATCTTATGGGGGCTGCCTTGTTGATAATTAAGTGCTTTTATCTTGGTGCTTTTAAAATTCTCTCTTTGTCTTTAACATTTTTCATTTTCTTTCATGCTTTTTAAAAATTTCTCATGTTAACCTTTGTCATTTTCATTATGTTGTGTCTTGGAGTGGGCTTCTTTGGGTTTATCTTGTTTGGGACTCCGCAGTCTGGACTAGTGTGTCTACTTTCTTCAGCAGGTTATAAAAATTTTCTGTCATTGCTTTTCAAATAGGGTTTCCATTCCTTGCCCTCTCTCTTCTCTTCCAGGTGCCACCATGATATGAATGTTGGTATGCATGAAGTCATCTGAGAGGCTCCTTATGCTCTCCTCATTTTTGTTTTTGTTGTGCTCTTTTTATTGTTTCTTTCTCTCTCTCTTTCTTTCCTCCTCTCTCTCCCTTCCTCCCTCCTTCCCTCTCCCTTCCTCCCTCCCTCCTCTCTCTTTCTCTCTCTCTCTCTCTGTCTGTCTCTCTCTTCTGTTCCGATTGTGTGTTTTCTGGTTCTTTACCTTCCCAAACTCTGATTTCATCCTGTGCTTCATCTACTCCACTGTTGATTCTCTGTAATGTATTCTTCATTTTTGTTATGGCATTTTTTATTTCTAATGTTTTCTATCTCCATTTTTATGTTTCCTGTCTCTTTGTTGAAGTTCACACTAAGTTCATCCACTCTGCCCCTAAGTTCATTGAGCATCCTTATAACTGGTATTTTGAACTCTGCGTCTGGTTGATTGCTTGCCCAAAATTTGGTTAGTTCTCTTCCTGGAGTTTTGTTCTGCTCTTTCATTTAGGACATGCTTCTCTCTCCTCATTTAGTCTGCCTTCCTGTGTTTGTTTCTGTTGTGAGGTAGAGCTGCTCCGTCTCCTGGTCTTGGTAGCGTGTCCCCATGCAGTGGGTGTCCTGTAGGGCCCAGGGGTGTGGTCTCCTCCCTGTTCACCCGACCTGGGCACTCCTGGTGTCTACCTTCCCTGCTGTGTGCTGTGTGCACCCAGCTGTTGCTGTTGAGTTATGATTGCTATGTTGACACAGAAATTTCCCTTTTAGTAATTTACCCTAAGAAGATAATCACACATGTTCTCAAATATATATATGCAAGGGTGCTTCTTGTATTGTGGTTTTATAAAAGCAAAAGGATGGAATGTCTCTAAATGCTCCAATCAATAGAATGATGGTAACTGTTGATGGGGAACTCAGGAGTTGAGAAAATTTTAGTGTTAGGTAACGGTTAATAAGCTTAGTAATGAGGGCCTGTAAAACACCGTTGTTTCAGGCACTGAAGGAACCACCAACCTGAACCCAGGTAACAGAGGGATTCCATCTTTGTGCCCCAGGGGGACTGCAAGCAATCAAGATCATATCTGAGCCACCCAGGACACAAATAAAAAATCACAGGTCAACAGATGAAAGAATGCTAGGAAAATTGCTTGTATATGATTAACATTTTCCCTGATGGCAACTGTGTGTCTTGGCTTCTGTGCCCTGAGGAACAAATTCAAGGTCAAAATAGAATTTCCTTGTAGCATTGCAGCAAGGCAGATTTAAGAAAGTCTATATGATCAATTACTATTTTTTAAAGATTTTATTTATTTATTTTTAGAAAGAGGGGAAGGGAGGAAGACATGGAGAGAAACAACAATGTGTGGTTACCTCTCCCACACTCCCTAATGTGCACCTGGCCCACAACCCATGTGCCCTGACTGAGATTTGAAGCAGCAACCCTTCAATTCACAGGCTGGAACTCAATCCAATGAGCCACACCAGCCAGGGCTCAATTACTATTCTTGTTGGGTTTGTGCAAATAATTAGGCCAAATTAACCCTGGACTTAATGCAGTCTCTTTGATAAAACAAAAAGAGGGCAATTGTAAGGGAGGGAAATTGTGTTTCTATGGAAATCATAACACTCAATTGTGGGTCTTGGGCTCCAGTTAAATTTTTTATTTTTCACCTACAAACTGAATTACATCCTGAATTTTCCCGGTTGTCTTTCAAATGAATGTTTTATTTTTCTCTCATTCTTTGACTTGGGATTATTGAGAACCACTGATGCAATGCCAGCCATACAGAATTCACCTGCACAACTGATGACATCTCCAGACATTTAAACTGCACACAGGGAGGATCTGTCACACTGTCACTGCTCACTGTCATTCCAGCAAAGGCCTTGCTTTGGAATTCTTCTCCTCTGACAGACTTGCAGACTCAGAAACTGGTGAGGACTTTCTGTGTTCATTAACCTCTGTGTTCTTCCTGTTTTCATGGGGCGTATGCCAATGACCGTGTTTACCTGGCTGCTTGTGCCCACACTAGAGGCCTCTCTTGAGAAGCCCATCTGCATCTCCACCTCCTGAAATGAGACTCGGTGGTTTGACTGAATGGGCTTGTTGTCAGGACTAGATATGAGACAGGAGAGTAAGGAGGTAGGATAATTCTTGGACGAGTGGGATGAGGAAACTGACACAAGAAAGTTAAATAAGGCCAAGGAGTGTGAGCAATTCACAGCCAGCTAGTGATTTACAGAACCTTATCTCCCTAACCAAGGACACTGAGAGCAAAGGGTTTAGGTTCTCCTCCCTGGCCATAAACCACAGGACTCAGGGGAAGACAGGAGGAGGAAAGTGTTGCAGAGAGGCAGCAGTGGCACAAAGGGAGGGAGCTTGGGAAGACACTGAGGACTCCCCTTTCAGCTCCTCCTCCCCTTAGTGCCAAGAGAAAGAGCACCTCACTCACCCCCCCCCCTAACCCTCCCAGGAATTTCCCCCTTCCAATTCCCACATTTCCCCCCCATATAAACTTACTTCTGAAAGGTCAAGATAAGGTAGATGTTAAGGTTTTAATCCCACCCCCTTCTCAGATTGCTGGCCTCTGATATTAAAAGCACAATTATAAATAATCCCTGTCTCTTCTTTTTGGCTGAGCAGTGACAGACAGCATGAGCCCCGGACTCGGTTACCCTCTGGTTTCAATTCTGGTGACCCAGATGTAGAAGAGTTTTCCTTGGGGCAGCCTCTCACCATTATTGACCCCACCAAGTGTTGAGCCTGCTGGAGCAAAAGGGAAATTTGTGGCTCACTGCTGGAAGAATGGGCAGGTACCAGACTATTCCTCTTGACCACCACAATGTCTCCCTCAAAACAGTAACTAAGTTGAACCCTGCCTCTCTTCTCCCAGAGCCTGACTTGGCTGTGCTAATATGTGACTTAACTGAGATCACTGATGAAGTGTCTTTTAGCAGAATTGATGTACAGGACCATCCTCCAGAAGAAGCAGACTGGACTATCTGTGCAGATGGAAGCAGATACATGGACACAGGAAACATAAAGGCTGGGTATGCAGTAGTGAGGTTTGAAGGAGGAGTGGAAGCCCAGGACTAGCTGCCAGGACCCTCTGCTCAGAAAGCTGCACTGATTGCATTGAGGAGGGACGCTGGAAGTGTCACATGAAAAGAGAGTGAATGGGTGTGCCTCCATGAGGTACACTGTCCTGATTTGGTTTTCACAAGGTTCCATCTGGAAGGAAAGATAACTATTGACCTCCGGTAAAAACGGAGATGAAGCATGCAGGAGAAATTTTTAAAATTATTAGGGGCTGCTCAGGTACCTTTCAGGTGGCAGTCATGCAGTGCCCAGGACATTAGAAAGAGGACACTGGAATGGCTAGAGGAAACATTCTGACTGATGGAGCAGCAAAAGAGGCAGCTAAAGGAACACTTACAATGCCTTTGGTACCTCTTCTAGACTTGTCACAATTTGACCTTGAATATTCGACTGCAGACTTAGAGAAAGACAAGAGCTGGGGTTTTGATGAAGAAGGTCCTGACAGGAGATGGAGAGAGAATAAGAAAGGAGTCACACTGCTTCCTGAACATTTAGTAGAGCCAGTCACGAAGCATTTGCATGAGGC